AGTTGGTGATGTCAGCACGTAAACACAAGAATTGGGTCTTGTTCCGCACGTAGGCATGTGTGCCATGGTCAAAGGAGCAGAGTGCCACACAATGGCCTTAGCAGGCATGTGTGCCATCAAAGGAGCAGAGTAGTCTGATTGCCTCTCCATACTTTGGCCTTCACAGCTGGTTGAGTCCGTTGAGCTTCGAGGACGCCCCCCCCAATGATGGTAAGGAAGCAAAGCGAAGAGCTCTCGCGCAAGGAAGCATATCCCGACCACCACCTTGAACGAGGCCAGAAGATCCGCCAAGCCGACCTTTATTTTAGTCAGGTCACCGGGTGGTGTTTGGCATTGCAAGAGTGGGTTACAAGGCTGCGAGTATCACACAAAATGCACATGATCCATTCGTTAAAGGATAGTCAAGCCCCACAGCTGTATTCATAATTGTCTTGGCTTCTGTTTAGGGCCAATACAGAAATTCAGCAAAGCATGGGCATGTTTGCTGTCAGGCATCTTGTCAGGTTGCTTCTTTCAGTACAGCACGTGGATGTTTTCTTGCTTCAAACGAATGACCATGCTTTCACATGAGCAGGTCATCCGCGACGCTTTGCTTTGGAAGCTCCCGCCGGCGAAGGCACCACACCGCGCGCACGACTTCGTAGGGCTAGGGATCAGGATTTCACCCGAATGGACATGTCGAAACCCGCACAAGGAGTTTTGACAATCTCAAACATTCCATCGATGCAGCACCACTCTCGTTTCAGCATTTTTGTGATTCAGATCACGACTTTACATTGCTGCGAATCTTGTAGCTGTTTTTTTTTTTTTGCGAGGCTTACAAGTCCAAGCAGGGCCGCATCTACTACGCCACCCAAGTTTCCACCCAGCCGCCAAAGTTGCTGAGCCAAAAACCAGGGCTGAGACAGAGAGATAGAGAGAGAGGGAGTCATGCTCAAGGATTTGGTGCATTCCGGTCCATCTGTTTTGCCTGAGCATGATGACTGCGAGGCTTTCTAGCTTGCAATCTTATCTCGGTTGCCATCTTCAGTGTGGAAGAGACAGAGCCACATGAAGTCAATCTTGATGTGGTATTCATGCATACAGGTCTGCCGATGGGACTCGCAATCAATGCACAATTCAGATGAGCCTGAGCACTCGGTGCCTATGGCTGACACGCGCCCAATCAAACGCTTGTCATTTTGCCGGATCTGCACGGGTGTGTCTTTTCTGCGTGGACCTCCCAAAATGGCCGTTCTCCTTTTGGCGGCCGTTCTCCAACCCCCAGACACCCGCACAGGAAAAGCAAGGCTCCTTCTCGCCAACGGTCCGCACAGTCGCAAGGCTCGTGATGTTCTGCAACAACCCGCGGCTCTTTGGGCCGAATTACAAGATCTATCTCGAGAACAAGATCCGCCAGGATTGAGTTTGGTTTTTAGCGACCTGTGAGTGAGGGAGGCAAGCTTAAGAGTCAGGTTCTGACGTGTTGATTCAACTTATTCATGAGTAGCACCTCCTTGCCAAGGGTATTGCTGACTTTGGACCCCAATCTGTTTCAACAATGCCTAGGAAACAGGACTGGATTTCTTGCGTATTTGTTTCAATCTCGTACCCGCAGTGTGGATTGTATTGCATGATATTGCTCTTCGGGTTGGCTGCTCCAACTCTTGCCGTTCAGGATCTGGGTTGGTTCGGCACGCCCTTCGAGGTGGAGTACCGCAAGAGGACGATAATCTTTTTACATGCGAGATGATGCTTGCTGGGCCCGTTAGATTCAAGAGGAGAATGAGCTTCACGAGTTCTCGCAATCTGTTTGGTGTTACTTTCCGAACTCTGTCTTCAGGGGACATTTTCGACTGGCAACGGTCTGTGGTCTGTGGAAGCGGCTTGCCCGAAGGACTGAGAAACGCGCGGTTTCTCAAGCTGAGCAGTGGCTAGGCAGGGCTCTGTGCGGCATGGCGTGGAAGAAGCGGCGGTTACTGCAGCTCAGTGCTGAACCTCTTCGTTTCGCCATGGATGCTTGAGGGGTTTGGACACCTGTTTGACAAAAACGGACTGCAAAAAGCTTCTGGTCTCGCAAAAACATCCAAGATGGAGCCAGGCCCCCGGCTACAGCCCTCCGAAGCTTGGCGCTAGAGGCCGAGTCGCGAGTCGCGAGTCGCGAGAGTCGGGGTGTGTCGGACCCGTGGATCCAGGATCGGCATCCAACGTTAATGGCATGGTTGAAGCAACCAGCCTACGACGCAGCTGTTTACTGTTTGAGATATGGAGCGGATGCGACGGAAACTGCCCTAAGGCTTGTCGTCAGAGTCTTCCGTCACCAAGCTATTACTACCCGTCTCGTGCTTCCGTTTCCCTCGCGTCTTTTCGCTGAGTGTTTGAGGCAACGAGGAAAGGCCAGGTAAAGCCGCGTCATTTGATCAATCAAGGCAATACCATATCCTGAACACCTGCAGTTTTGATAGTGTGGCGCACCGCATCGGGGCATCCCATCCCACAAAAAGCCGTGACAGAACTAAAGGTGCGAACTCCGGGGCCTGTTTTTGCCCTCCTGGCCCGCTTGACACACTTGCAAGTGGCACACTTGCAAGGCCTTGCCTTTCTCGGGGGCGAGTTCCACACTGCCAATAAGGAGCCGTCCCCACCCAGCGCTTTGTGTGTTGCAGGCTGCTGGCCACGTCTGAGCTGACCGCTCTCGGCCGAACGCCGATGATTGGTTAGCCGGTTAGCCAAAAGGAGGCCGAATATTTTCATGTCTGAAAGAAAGAAGACCAATGTATCTTTGACAAAGAGAGCAATGCTTGAACACTATCTTCTCTTTTTTTTGCAGAATACTCATGCCGTCTTTATGTCCAAAGCCCATTGTCAATTTGAGTTCCTGTTGCAGATTTTCGTTTCCTTGATGCCTTGGGTTCTGTAGTCGGCACGCAGACCTGGACCTTGACCCAGATCGAGAGTTACAAGTTGTTTCCCTTTGAAGGCGAGAGGAGAGACCATCTCCATGCGTGCGAAGAGGTGCCGCCCATTCCCATGCGAGGAAAACAAGCTTTCCCGCGCACTGCCTGCTTCCCTCCCATACCGCCCATAGCAACCCCATGTGCAGATGCTTGTGAGATGATACTTGACGGCACATGGATAGCGTTAGCACGGCAACATGCATCGACACGTGCCCTCAGCCATCCCTTGGCACGGCTTTGCTTTGACCATTGGAGCCTCGTTTGCGCCATATGCTCAGGCCACTGCCTCCGCCACCTTGGCCGGCCGGTGAGGCGAGCTGAGAGAATAGAGTGGCATAAGGTCAACTGCACTCTTGCGCCGCTACTGCTGCTGCTGCTGCTGCTGCTGCCGATCAATATACTTGTCTTGTTTCAACCTATCTCACAAAAAGGCGTTTGCTGCTTTCGGCAGCTGAACTGCTTGCTCAAGGCCCGGAGTATGAACGGCTGCACAGCTGTGCCATTGGCCCGGGTGGATCATACTGGGGAGATCAACGATGAATCAAAAGGACTGCTTCACACTGCAGAAAGCGCTACATTGTCGTGCCTTGTCTTACGACGCCCTTTGCGTTCCTTGCAAAGAGGGAGGCCATGGCAGGTGCAGCATCCACTACCCCGAGGCCACCACATCGTTCTGCGAGGCCCCGGCTCTTCGAATTTGCCTGCCCGTCCGATTCACATCGCGTTGTCGGCGCAGGGCTGCTGGACAACCCATCCTTCAACGGGCGAGGGGGTGTAGTTGAGAGGCAGGGCACCCGGATGCTGCACGGGACATGCGACCCGGAGGTGAAGTTCAGACTTGATTCTCGCAGCTGCCTTGATTGGGCCATTCAAGCCAGGAAGGCTTTTTGCCATCCAAACGTTCATCCATCTCCTGCTGATGATGTGGGGACTTGTGAACCCGAGCTCCTGACTTCGGCTCACTTACACTCTTGTTGTGTGTTTCTCTACTCGTTCTTGTGTTTCTAGGCGCGTCACGTCTAGCAGATAGAACCATGACGGCGTCACCTTCATTTGGATCATTTTCTTTCCACAAACTGCTCTGCCAATGGTGCTGTCAGGTTTGATGAGGCCGACCAGGCCTACATGGTGAGAGTGAACGGCGTGGAGTCCTTGGTCAAGGCGGCGTCTCGAAGCTTCTGACGCGTTTTGGTGCTCATCACACTTCGGACTTCGGTGGAAAGGTCTGAGTCTTACAAGGCGCATGTTTTGTTCCCCAAACAGCCTTGCTGTTGGGCTTCTCCATTCATGCAAAGAATTGCCGCAGTCATGTGATGGTTTGTCGCTGGTACCCCGGCTTGTCTCCCGGCTTGTCTGCCGGCTTGTCTCCCCACTTGTCTCCCCACTTGTCTCCCCACTTGTTATACTTGTTGTTGTTGACCCGGACCTTGTCGCAGCTTGTCTCCCTTCTTTGTGTGGTCACTCGGGCCTTGTCATGGCTTGGCTCCCCACTTGTCCCCCACTTGTCGTTTTTCTTGTGCAAGCTGACTCAGACCTTGTCACAGCTTGTCTCCCATTTGGCTCCTCCCTTGTTTCCCTGCTTGTGCTTGCGGGCCTTGTCACCTTCTGTCTTTGACTTGTCTCCCATTTGTCTCCTTGCTCGTGCTTGCTGACTCGTACTTTGTCATGGCTTGTCTCTGCATTTGTTTCCTGGTTGTCTCCCTGCATGTGCTTTCTGACTCAGACCTGGTCACCGCTTGTCTCCCCACTACTCCGACTCGGAGCTTGTCACAGCAGATCTCCCCATTTGTCTCCCTTGTCTCCCTTGTCTCCCTTGCGTCCCTGCTTGCGTCCCTGCTCGTGCTAGGTGACTCGAACACTTTGTGCGTGCTGTTACTTGTTCGTGACACACACGTGTTTGGTATTTCATTATTTCATACCATTGAAAGCAGAGCTGCGACGAGACTTGGCGGCAACGGTTGGTTGCCAATTGCTTGTTCCTTGTTCGCACACTCATGCGAGTCCAGACATGGTCGAGTTCTTGGCAATTTGTGGCCTAATTGAAACGGACTGATGTGCGCAATTGCTGGTCGGGGTCGATGCTGGTCTGACTGTTGTCTTTCGCAAGTCACCGCATTGGGAAAGGCCAGCGCTTTGGCCTTGTCAGGTTGGCTTCAACAACGTTTCGCGAACAGATACCGCAGAAGATGCGGGAGCCCTGAAGGAGAGTGCACACATTGCCTCGATCGGGCATGGGGCTAAGGAAGACGATGATTTTTACAAGTGCTTGGGCCATAAGTCTTGATGTGAAGGGACCCAGGGCCGACCACAGCTGGTGTATGGCTTACATGCGAATTGTGGTTGATTGTGAAGAGTGCCAATCATGTTAAGCATTGTTGCAATCGTTTGCCTTCATTTAATCCAATCGGACCTGTGGTCTTCTGAATTTGGTCTTGAGCCCGGTCAAGGAGCGGCATATTACCACCAACATTTGTTGTGCACGAACCAGCTGCACGGACATCTTGGCTTTTGGGTTTATGACAACGCATTGAACTTTGCGGACCTACCTCCAAAACGCAACCTTCTGGAACCAACGATCGACAAGTAACATGAGCCACAGTCAATATGCATAATGAGTTGCTGTTGCAAAGGGTAGGGGCACACCTACCGAAGTTTCCGCAGTGATTGCCCTCACCAACTTACGACGTCAGTTTGGGGGTGCAACAGTCGACGGTCAGCGCCCCAAGTTCCAGCTGCCGAGCTTGTCGCTGGCGCTGCCAGTGCAGGCTCCGGCCTGAGAAGTGGATATGGCGATTGCTTGGAGTAAAAGGCTGAACACGTTCGGAAAAAAAATCAAAAAAACAAAAAACAGCAAACCAAAAAAGAAGAAAACAGCTGGGTGTCTTTTTTTTTGTACCATTTTGCTTGCCTTCAAAGGGAAGCCAAAAAAGGAGCATCACCTTCCCCGGGTCCATAGGGACTTCACAGCTGTGCAAAAGCGCCTGGCGAGCTCCGGGTGTGGCCCGAGGAGGACTCCTGCAGTATGTCAGAGGAGAAGAAGCTGCTGGGCGCGGCGGCCCAGTCTCGTTAGGACGTTTCCCCGGTTTGTTTTCTGGCATTTTCGAGCGAGCCCACCAGTGCTACGGAGAATGGACATTTGTGGTCCTGATCGTGATTGGCCAACTCTTGCTGGGGTGTGGCAATCGTCAGGCTTGCTTGCTGGATGTTGTCAGTACAATATTTGAAGAATCATATGGTTGTTTCTTTGCGAAAGGTGTGACACACTGCCCCTGGCGTAGTCTCATTTCATTTGGAAACCTCGCGTTGCCATGCTCGTCCGCAGGTTCTCGGAACTCAGAGGTCGACACTCTTCACAGCCTGCACTTTACTCCAGGCGGGTGAGCGGTGCGCAGACAGGGCATTTCGATGCATTTTCGATATTCGTGGCTGACATGCCCAATGCCGCGTGCTGCCCATGGCCCCCGTGGCTGAGTGAGGGCTGGTCAACTCCATACGCAACCAGTTCCGCAGGCCTACTGTAGCAGTTGTTCCCCAAGGATGGCCGCATGGCTGAGTGCGGGCTGGTCAGTCCCACTGTAGCAGTCGTTCCCCAAGAGGTGACATGAATTCCGTCGCAGCCATGGTAGCCGCGCTCCTGTGCATCGCCCACGGGAGCGTCGAGACCTGTATGGCCCCCAAGCGTGCGAGGCATGTGCTAGCAGGCACAGGCGCCTTGGTCAGTCTGATGGGGTATGAAGCTGCTTTTTATAGGCTACCGTGTGGGGGAAAGCAGATTCCTGCCAGTGCAAAACAAACTTTATTGGCCGTTTGGCCGTGTGGGAGAGATTCTGAAGCATAGGGTGTTGACTGCTGCTCTTTGCTCTTCTTTCGCTACGGTGATCTTTGCCCGATCAGCAGCCCTAGCCAGCACAAAAACCATTGCTGAAAAAACAACGCAGCGCGCCTAGTGTTTAAGCGTTGAGAATGGCGTAGGCGAGCGCTTGGATTCAGGGCCGAAGTTACCTGCCAAACTTGTTTGTCCCGCAGGTGCCGAAGGAGACTTTGAGCTAGTGCTGAAGGAGGAGACTGTAGCAACCGGCAGATGGTCAGGCAACAAGGCGCTGATGGATGTGGCTGATCACGTGCACGTAGATGCCGGTTAATTATTTTTGTGGCATTCTTTGGCGGCTCATTTGCGGAGAAATGGGCATGAAATTATCAAGTCGGCCGTGTTTGAACGACTGCTTGGCAAGATCGAATTTGCAAGTTAGCAATGCAAGGATTTAGCAGATTCGAATCGGTGACTGATAGCAAATCATTTGTTTCGTGGAGATTGCGAGCATTTCCGGCGATCGCCACTGACATAATCCGTAACATGCCTCCTCATTTGTTTGCTTGGAAATTGCAGCATGCTGAGTAGCTCGAAAACCAATCACAGTGTTGCATGTAACCTCGCTGTCTTGTACCTACGTGTTTGCATTGCAGCCCTCTACTCATCTAACGGGTTTCATATGGTCTCATGGTCTATTTTCCTTTTCGTCTTTGCTCTCTTACCTCTTTTTCTTACCTCTCGGCTTGCTCAACGGTTCGCTTCGCTCAGCTGTGGCCTGGCGCCCTTGCGCTGCTGGGCCGCCTCTCCGAGCTCGCGCCGCGCGCGCCGCGCGCGCGGGTGCTGGAGCTGGGCTGCGGGCTGCCGCTGCTGGCGGCGGCGCTGGCGCAGCTGGGCGCCGAGGCCGTCGGTTGGGTCGGTCGGGTCGGGTCGGTCGGCGCGCGCCCGAGCCGGGCGCCGTGGGTTGGTCGGCGCTGGAGTCTGAGAAGTTGTTGGAGAAAAGTGAAAAGGTGGAAGGAACATGACTCTGTGCAAGACTTCGGAACTGTAGTACCAAAGCTGCGGTGGCAAAGCATTTTTTTCGCGCAGGTGATCATGAGAGGTTTCGAGAAGCTTTGGGGCGCCAGCTCAGTCGCCAGGTTTGTGCCACCGACCACCCCAGCGTCATGGATCAGGTCCGTGCAGCGGTCAAGGAGGAGCTCATTGAGGGCCTCTCCTCTAGTGCAATCCAGCGCTTGCGCTGCCTAGCAATGAATCATGCCACAAGCGGCGGGGGCCAGGAGCGATGCAATTGAAACTGTTGCGCTTGGAATAAGTTGCAGAAGAGGGCTATGTATTTTGTTTTTAGCTGCTCAGGACAGGCAATTGAACAGCTCGGAAAGGGCCCCTACGCTCGGTTTCGGGAATTCGGCGACAGTATTCGTCACATGTCCAACGCTAGGCTTTGAGCCACTTCAGTGGGGCGAACCTTTGAACCTGACGCCCTGCGGCTTTCAAGCGGTGGATCTCATCGTGGGCGCGGACTTGGCTCTTTGGACTGGAGATCAGAGACTCGCTTGTGAGCGTCAAGCCATCTGCAAGATGGCTACAAAACATGCCACTTGCCCACGCAAAACGGGGTTTGGAGGCTCTGAAGTGAGGTCTATGACGGTTTTCCAGTGGATGCCCTGTACCAGAGCCTCAAGGAACTGATGGGCATGTACAGCGGCACTGTGATGCTGGCGCTTCAACCGCGGCGCTTCCCCATGACGGCAGCTTTGCCCTTCGGCCGCGCAGCTTCTGTGCACTGCGCGTGCTTGTCGGGGATTTGGGGGTGGTCACTTTTGGGGCTCCCCCCCTCCTGCCCCCATTGCGCCTTGATGCATGCAATGTCTCAGGCGCGAGCCACGCCTTGTTGCCAGCTTCCTGAAACGCTTCGCCCAAGATGGCTTCCAGGTGGGCTGCAGACAATCTCTTTTGGTTTCTTGGCTTGCGTAATCTTGGAACTATCGTTTTCTGGCGGAACGCTGAATTTTAACACCACAGAATACAACAGAACATCTAGCACAAACCTCAAGCCAAAGCAAAGCGCACAGCTTCTGAAGAGACCAGATAATTCTGACCACGCCGCATTGCTTAAATCTATCGGAGACTCAACAAAAGTTGCATCAAGCCAAAAACACAGGAGCAACGCAGCTACATTTTCCGCCATCTCGGCATTGGATGGATGGAAGCTCGATAGGTATTCTTCCACATTCCAATCAGAAGCTCTCTCTGTCTCTCTCTCCCCGCATCTAGCCTCTAGCCTCTTGCGACTTGCGAGTTGCGCAGAGAAACACACCTATGCCGCCTATGCCCCCAACCGGCACCCTGCGGGTCCCAACCAAGCTGCGCCCGCCCGCGCGGGGCTCGTTGCCCGAGAACGCTTGCGCAGGTGTCTGTGGAGGCCACCACGAGTGAGGACCTGGGCCTGGCGCAGCAGCCCCGCCGCGAGAACCAGTCGGCCTCCGAAGGCTGGGGGGGTGGGGTCTTGGGGGGTCTTGGGGGGTCTTGGGGGGTCTTGGGGGGTCTTGGGGGGTCTTGGGGGGTCTTGGGGGGTCTTGGGGGGTCTTGGGGGGTCTTATGGTGTGTGTGTGTGTGTGTGTGTGATGGGGATTGCTTGGGTTGAGAGGAATGTGCATAGAGGGAGTAGCGAGGGGTTTGTTGCATGATTGTGACGGTTTGACTTTTTGCTTCGTGATATCTCCGGCTTAATTTGGGGAGTCCCGCGCTGCATTTCAGGCTTGGTCATCGCGACCATCACAACGTCCGACTCTGCTCCTCTTCGGAGAAATGCAGGCTCAAGGCTTGTGTATCGACGTGAGGAGCTGAGCACATGAGGCTGGAGAAGCTCAGATTCTACGTGGCAAGATGTAGCTCCCAGCTCACACTTGGCAAGCTGGCGCAGATTTGCGACACGTTCTGGCTGGTCGTGACCCATAGCAATGCCCAGGTGCTTGAGATCCTTGGAGTTCTGCGCATGATGACAAGCTGAAAAGCCTGTTCACCTCAAGGTTTTGCTTGCAGTGCTGGCGCTTTAGCGAAATGGGTGTGCGCGGGCGTGCAAACGGTCGAGCTGGCGGATATGCTGGCGATGGTGCGCCAACCGGCAAGGCTCTGAGTCTCCGGTCAGCCGCATGGCGCCGATCGACCCTGTGGATCGATGAGGATTAGTTGCCAGACGGTTTCGCGCAGGCAAAAAATCATTGCGCAGCGTGTATGATTTTGCATCTATCTTGATATTTTTGCCTATCCTAGACGACTCTTCTCTGCATTTACATCTCAAAACCTGGTCGTTTCAATCGGCTAGAGTGATTTACATAGGACAGAGATGGCACTGACGGTTGCTACTCGTACTAGCTGCCTCGTTTCTGGGTCAGATGACCAATGTGGCACTGCTGCCCAGCAAGCTGAGTTTGCCAGGCTCTTTGCCCGCCAGAATACTTTTGAGCTACTGCAGACAGGCGGGCGCCTCGCGGATGCACATCCTGCACGTTGCCCTAAGCCCCCCCCCCCCCCCCCCGATTTGCTGTTGGGCTTCATCACCCGCTCGGGTTTGCTTGCAGCTCAGGGGAACATCCGCCAAATGCTTGCTATGCAGTGCCACGTGGTTGTGGGTCAAAACCTAAAGTGCCTGTTTGTGGATGGTTACCACTCCACTGTTGTCTTTTTAGAAGGCCTTCAGGGTGTTCACCGGGGCACCGGGGTTTGACCCATAGCCATGTAGTGCTGGAACCATGCGTTTGAATCTTTGCTTTCTTTATGGGTCCGACTGCTTAACCAGGGGGAACCTAGGATCCGATCCTGTTCGGGGTCAACCGACAAACCAGATCGCAATCATGAGGTCGCAAAGCGACCCTGGAAGCTCACAGCAGTCTATGTCATTTGTGTCTTGGCACCGCGCTCGGAAGGCCCGTGGTTTGATCAAATCTACGCACTTTTGCTTTCAGAATGACTGGGTTCTTCAGGGTGCACAGGAGTTGAACTAAAGCATGACAAGACCAGCATGCGCTCAATTTGGTCTCGTGAAATTTGCACGTGAAACAGTCTTTCGGGCATATAGCATTTATCAATGGTTTTCCTTTTCTGGCTGGTTGCCGGTCCCTCCACATGTGAGTTGCAATCTTGTGACAGTCTGAGGATACAGCCCAGAGGGACATGCAACACAGAATTGTTCAAGAGTGCGTCTTAGGAAGAGCACCCTGCTGTGCCAGCACTGCCTTGAACACGACCGACTGTCTCGCAGCAAAGGTGCCGCTCATTGTCGGCATCATCTTCCGTGGCTTTCAGCTGGAAACGGACTTTAATGCCGGAAGCCTGGAGACAAACAGTCCATTACATGGTATCATGCTGCATGGATGAGTGTTCAGAAAGAAGGTGTTCGTGTGCGTGGGTGAAAAGCTATGCACCTCCTTGCATCATGTTGCTGGTTCCAGCGGTGATCCAGTGAGTGTATGGTTCAATGTATTTAGCATCAGGCATCACACCTCAAGCACACACGGACAGCCACATCCACACCCAGACGCACACGCAGACGCAGATGCAGACGGAGCGTGGCGCACACTGAGCATGCCGCGCATGCCGCGCACGTTGCGCGCGCCGCGCACGCCACACCACGCACGCGCCCCGCCGCGCCACGCCACGATTCGCAATGCCACGCTCTGCCACGCTCTGCCACGCCACGCCACGCCGTCCGCCACACGCCTGCCGACCGGCCGACACTTAAGTACACACACACACACGCGCGCCCACACACACACACACACACACACACACACACACACACACACACACACACACACACACACACACACACACACACACACACACACACACACACACACACACACACACACACACACACACACACACACACACACACACACACACACACACACACACACACACACACACACACACACACACACACACACACACACACACACACACACACACACACACACACACACACACACACACACACACACACACACACACACACACACACACACACACACACACACACACACACACACACACACACACACACACACACACACACACACACACACACACACACACACACACACACACACACACACACACACACACACACACACACACACACACACACACACACACCCACCACGCACACGCACACGCACACGCACACGCACACGCACACGCACACGCACACGCACACGCACACGCACACGCACACGCACACGCACACGCACACGCACACGCACACGCAACACGCACACGCACACGCACACGCACACGCACACGCACACGCACACGCACACGCACACGCACACGCACACGCACACGCACACGCGCACGCACACGCACACGCACACGCACACGCACACGCACACGCACACGCACACGCACACGCACACGCACACGCACACGCACACGCACACGCGCACGCGCACGCGCACGCGCAAGCGCACGCGCACGCGCACGCGCACGCGCACGCGCACGCGCACGCGCACGCACACGCACACGCACACGCACACGCACACGCACACGCACACGCACACGCACACGCACACGCACACGCACACGCACACGCACACGCACACGCACACGCGCACGCACACGCGCACGCGCACGCACACGCACACGCACACCACACGCACACGCACACGCACACGCACACGCACACGCACACGCACACGCACACGCACACGCACACGCACACGCACACGCACACGCACACGCACACGCACACGCACACGCACACGCACACGCACACGCACACGCACACGCACACGCACATATGCGTTTGGCACTTCGTCCACTCTTCAGGCCTTCATCAAGGCCGACGGCGCAGCCATGCGGGACCGCGAGGCGCTTGCCGTCCGCTTGTCTTGCCGCCTCACCCGTTGAGCACGCGAAAGTCTGCATACAAACAGTGCATGGGTCAACACAAGAAACATGAGGCTCTCTTTTTCTTTGTCCGCATGTCACAAAGTGAGCCAAGCAGCTCTTTCATAGCTTTGCTTTAATGCCTCCGGCTCAGACCGTCGACAGTACACGCCTGCTGAATTGAATTGTATGTGTCTTATAAGTACAGTGCGTCATTGCGAATTGCTGTTTACCCCATGATGACGGTGCATGAAGTACAAAACAATACCATAATATTTGCAAGAACAAGGCATGGAACATTGTGTCACAAGAGGTCACGCTTCATTCAGTGAGATTGTCATCAAAACGCTTAAAACATGCTGTATGACAGTTGAGGCAGATGAAAACAAATGCAACAACGATAATATAGCTGGCGCGACTATATATTTGAAATACTTTTCACGTATTATAATACAACAATGCATTCAACCACTCGCTTTGTTCCAGCACAGGCAAAACTGAACAGCGAGTACGAACATTTATCTTTTATTTCATTTCATTTCCCCATCATTTCCCCTTCATTTCCCATTCATTTCCCCTTCATGTCCCTCCATTTCCAATTTAGTTCCCTTTATTTCCCTTTCATTTCTCCTCCATCTCCCCTTCATTTCCCCTTCACTTCGTCATTTTCCTTCATTTCCAATTCCTTGTTTGCACTTTCATTTCCCCTTCATTTTCCCTTTCCTTTCCACTTCATCCCTTCATTCCCCTTCATTTACTGTCATGTCCCCTTCATTTCCATTCTTGTCCATTTCATGTCCCTTCATGGCCTTCATTTTCTCCTTCATTGCCCCTCTATTTCTTTTCATTCCTACTTCAGTTCCCTTCATTTCCCTTCACCCTTCATGTCCTTTTATTTTCCCTTCATTTCCTCCCTTCATTTCCCTGTCTTTATGTTTCTTCATTTTCCTTGATTCCTCTTCATTTCCCATCCCTTCATTTGCCTTCATGTTCCCTTCATTTCCCCTTCACTTCCCACTTTTTCCCAGGAATATAATTCTGATAATGCTGATGATGCTGCTGATGCCGGTGATGTTGCACTTGCGCTGCTGAGGATGCAAAAGTGATGCTGGGGGGGGCATTGAGCTTCCCAAGGTTTTTGAACGCAAATGCCTGGGAAAGTCCATCTTCGTTGCCTTGAGAGGTAGCAGGTAAGGAGCATTTCTTATGTCCAACACGCCTGGCGGATTTGGAATTCAGGCATCTGAGCTGGATCGCCTGGCTGACTGTACCCTCTCGTCCCGTTTGTTCCCGTAAAAGAAAGAGATTGCTTGACTGGGAAGAGCCCGCATGTGCGGGCACTTGCTATGGCCCTTGGCTGGTTGGAGGTGAAGGGTGAGCCGTTGTGTCAACCGTGGACGGTTGGTGGCTGACGGAGGGCTTGGGGAAGGAGTTGTGTCACAACTCCTTCAAGACCTTGTCAGCCACAGTTGCTGGCCGTCTTCTTTGAGAACGACCCGAACACGAGCTGGTGCAGGGCTGCGCAGAGATGGAGCCGCAAGAGTTGACTGAGCAAAGTGGCCGGCCGGCTTTCTTCTTTCCCATGAAAGCCGAAGGGGAGAGCCTCGAAGAAAGGCCGATTTCTTCGCTTCGCAGGCCTTTATGCTTGCCTACACAGACAAGCAGGACCTCGACGGCCGCCGCCTGCACGAGGCGCGTTGAGACCATCTTGAGAGCCACGGGACTCCGCGAAGTCTCGCTGTATCGGGGAAGGGATGAATCGGCGAAGAGGGCCGCGTAGCCTTTCCTGGCGTCTGAGGTGCCTTTGCAGAGGCTTTTCCAGGCGCGAGTCTCAGGTTGTGGAAGTTCAGGGTGAGCTCAGGCTAACATGGGTCTGATTGAACGTCGGACTCATCGGAGCAATGGGAACTGCGGGGGTTCATTACTTTTGGAGTTTCATTGCTTTTGGAGGGAACACCCCTATTAGTAGGACGGGTGTATTCATCCGGGTCAACGTTGCGTGATTTGCAAGCGTGGGCCCATCACAACGCTTCTCATTGCGCACCCTTGCCAAATCCGTGCAATACAGAACCAAAGCAAGCACGCCATGGTGCGCTAGCTAAGTGGTTATGCTAGCCAAGTGGTTATGATCAGTCCAGCAGACATTTCATGCGGAAGATGCGCGATGGCATCGGCTGAGGTGGATGGAGAGTGGGTAGAAGAAGAGGACGAGGTGCAGCATCATGTTTTCTTGCTCAG